AGTAATGCATAATGGTTATATGTGTGGTGGTCTAAGAACTCTATCAAAAATTGAAACATTGACGAATGACACGAACTTCAATGCGCCATTCGTTTGTTTCGCATGCCCTCACTTCGCTCCATCCAAAACGATTTCATTGGACAGACTGTACAGGTGGACGGGAATTACCGTCATTCTTGAATTCGATTCGTCCTTTGCAAACTTCCCAACCTTTAATAGGACCCTTTCAACGGCTGCACTGTTATCGTTAAGTAAAGTGCGTTCATAATTAAACCAAAGTTGAACGTCAAGTCTGCACCGGAAGTTGTAAAAATTCATAGAACCTTGGATTTTAAACGTCGCCGACTGGGTGCAAGGTAAAGGAATGGAAGGTCTGTAACCGTCTGAATGCTGGTCTTTATACAGTTTCATAATGGAACTGTTTCCGACGCCCTTCTTTGCATGAAGTTCATGGTGGAGCGCTGATCTGCAACTGCATGTCGTCAGCTAAGAGCGTGCATGATTTTCAACGTAGAGCCGCATGCAGTCATTTTGTGAGCAGAGTGCGTATTCTGCTGGTTCTGTTCACACAGTGGCACTTGTCTATCAACCTCAGGAAAAGGAAAGGCTAACGGCCTGGCCGGAACTCGAATCTGCGATGTATTGCTATTAAGTTTGACGCTCTATTGACTGAGCAACCCCGGTCATACAGTAGCGTAATTGCCCAATTTTGTAAAATAAATCTTGCCAACTTATGGATTTCTTGACGCCTTTAAAATCAAGGTACTGATGTAAGTCCGTGTATTTAAAATTATAATTAAACACTGAACTAAAACGCCTTTCGTCCTTGTCTTACTTGCCGTGATAACGGGGCGATTGTTCACATAGAACTGCTTTTGCAGTTGTTCGTGGTCAGCCCTAGTGAAGCTGCGTTCGGCACCGCAATCGGCACTGGCTTGGAATTCGCTGGTCGGTCGTCTTGTGTCTGAAACATTAATCGACTATGAATCGGTAATAAGCAACTTCAATGGAAAGTACTTAACTTGCGGCCCTCGTTGGCAAAGATATCCGTCGACAAACGACGAATCACACAACCGGGATTTTCTTCGGTGCGCGCCGACCGACTGACTACGACGTTTCGTCCTCGAGGTAACGTCCGCGATGCTGGTGCTGCTATCCGTAATCAAGCCTTTAGGGTATAACTTCGCGGCTAATTTGAGACCTGAAAATTTCGTCGTGCTCTCTAATTCAAATTCGTAACATGTTTACTAATTTGCATAATCTATAATTTATACCATACGGCGATGGTTTTTTTAGCTACGCAGACACTATATTCTATTACTGATAAATTGTAGACGATTTATTGCTGCAAAAGCATTGAAAAACAAGTAGTATTTTTGAAAAAATTTTTCTCCTGACAGAAGAGGGAAACAAGAGCTTAAAAAATCCACTATCACCTTTTAGACAATACGCGTATCAAGACTAACATATGATATGCATTTCAATCCATCCTAAAAGTAGTTTGCTGCTTGGTCTTCTGTAATATAATCAGTGTTTGCCTGAAATTTAAACTCTTATTTTTATGCAATTATTTTTTAATGTTTAATAATTTGTTTACTATGAGGATTTAGCTCCCTAACTTTCATGATATATTTATTAATAAAGAAGATTTTTGACTACGGTACTT